GTGTTTGCTATAAGATTCTGAATTGTAACATTATTTAGTTGGAGCCTTCAAATAAGCCCAGCGGTGTATACACCTATTACTGTACTGTATATATATTTTTACATTTGTGTATTTTGAAATTGTGCAAAAAAATAACCTGTATTTCAAAACAATCCCATCTTGATTGACAGCTGCAGTGACCAGTGGTGCTGTGCGGCTGAGTGATAAGCCCCGCCCCCCTGGCCCACACCCCTGGGCTGTATGAAATGCCGGTCACTAGGTCCCCGCTCCCCATTGGCTGGCCGGCTCTGAAACCTGCGATCTAATTGGCCGCCTCTGGGGATATTGCTCTGTGTTCAGTGGAGCAATGAAAAAGAAGCACAGGCTGAATCCATTTTCTCTTTTTTGTTGTTGTTGTTGATGTTTTCTCTCTCCGATCATCTTTATCTGTCTACGGACAGAAAGAGCCCCCTCCTCTCTGGTTTCTACTAAATCATCCTCTCTCTCTTTTTCTCCGTGGCTGCATTCCTTTTTGTCATTTTTTCCATCATGGCAATATTTTTCCGCCTCATTTTTCTCATGTATTTCCTGATAAAACCATATCTGCTGTTTTCTTCACTATTCCCTCTTTGTTCCTCGGTAAAAAGAGTCTCATCTCACATTTCTTCTTATCAAACCTATAACCCTGTGAATATGAATAATCGGCTGTACACTGCACTCCAGGAAAAATGCTGTTTCTTTACTCTTATATCTTATATTCTCTCAGTCTTTTATTATATCTGATCCATCTAGCAGTGCTTCTCAAAGTGTGGTCCGCGGACCACTGGTGGTCCGTGAGCGCCCCCTAGTGGTCCGCGAGTATATTGGTAACATTTCACATTTGAAATAAATAAATACATTTAAGTTTTCCGCACTCTCGCGGGAATATCTCCGCAATGGAGCGAGCTTACGTTTCACTTTTGATGGCATGATAAAGCCCAGGGCAACACCTTCATCACACTTGCTGCCACTTGTTTGTACCATTTTCAGGCGATTTGTAATCTGTTCTAGAAAAACGATGCGATTTTGGATATTTGTGGAGTTAGGTGGTCCGCGAGTGTTATTTTATTGGTTAAGTGGTCCTTGGTGTGAAAAAGTTTGAGAAACACTGATCTAGTGCAAATGTAAGACCCCTTTCACAAGATTGTTCTAATGAGTCAAGCTAACAGCAGCAAATCTTAGCCTATGATATATTTGAGACACTCAGTAATCTCACAATATTTCTGATATATTATTGTCATATATTATTTTATGCTATATGATACTGTTTTATAATTTACCTGGGAAGGGGGTTGGGGTAGTATTGTTTTTCATGTTGGTTTGTGAAGTACACTTTTGTGTATGAAAAGTGCTACATAAATAAAGTTTGATTGATATTTGATATTCAATTATATGTTATACTGCTTTATTATACATTATATTATATCATGATATTATATATATTATCTAACACTATGTTTTACAATAGTTGTTGTTATATTGTTTTACTACAGTATATAATAATTCTTCATCTTTGTCCGTACCCTCGTGGTTGTAAATGGAACAAACAAAAATGGTTGATCATTCTCAGTATTGACACTAAAAATGTTTAACCCTCTGAGCCAGCTGAGCAATCTATGTGTGACAGAAACACCAGATAACAGATGTTTGACAGATAAGTGTATGTTTAAAAATGTGTAAAGACATATATCATCATATCAGACTTACGGAGGAGGTACTCAGCAGCGTCTGCTTCATAGTCCGCGTCCTCCGGGAAGTGATCAATCTTCTTACACACACCTCTGAACGTTCCTGCGGAGAAAACACACATCAGTTCAGCTATGTGCCAAAAAAAAAAAATGAAATGCATTTTTACAAGACTGGATTTATAGTAATTTGGAGTTTCATAAACCATGCAGACAGGTGAAGTCTTGATATCTGCACATTTCTTAGAGCAAGTCCATAAATGAATACCAGAATCAACTGATAATGAGTGTTAAAGTCAAACATTTTAAACTAGAATAAATGAATACCAGAATCAACTGCTCATAGGATGCTTGTTTTAAGAGTTGCTTTTTCACAACATCCTAACTGTAGTAAAACATGTTTGACAAACTGTGAGTGTTTGATATGTCATGTTCTTACTTTGTGATCTTTTAATAACTACATATATACGTAATGCCGTAATGGTCGCAGGCACGCTATTCACTCATTATTGCAGTATGGATTGCACTGTTGCACCCATTACCAATACATCAAAAACTGTCAGTTTTACGTTAGGATAGCAGCAGATATAGCACTGTTGGCTGTGAGGTAGTAACATCTACACATCTCACAGTAAAGGCACACAATGCAAACAAGAACTGCCCCTTTAAACTAACATCTGTAATGAATCAGTCATTATGGTTTTGATGAATTATTTAGTCAGGAAAGAGACAAATATAATAGCAAGTAAACCATGGGGATTTAAGCGAGATTGCTTTTGTCAATCAATAATCTTCTTGTGTGATTGTACTGCATCAGATCACATTTTCAGCAACACGTGCACATCTTGTAGGTGGACATGCATATACATCGAGAGAGAGAGAGAAGAGAGAGAGAGAGCCTTCAGGGTATGTATGGGAACTACCAATGAAAAGCCTTATAACACCCACAAACACACACACACACACACACACACACACACACACACACACACACACACACACACACACACACACAATTACCGCCGCTTTGAATACAAAACCACACCAAGCTCATTAAACTGATACATGAACACTATCAATCATGCATGTAAGTAAAAGCCTTCTGTATCTAGATTGTTAATATCAGTCAATGTCAGTCACTGTGTGTGTGTGTGTGTGTGTGTGTGTGTGTGTGTGTGTGAGTGAGTGAGTGTGTTTGTGTTGTATTGACTAGGATGCAGTCTCCTACGAGCGTGCCGTGTGTCAGGCAGAGAGTGACTCATCCTCCTTTGTACAAGTCCTCCACACACACATCCATTAATCTGGGTGTGTGTGTGTGTACACTGCATGAAGCTTCATTCCCACCCTTCATTCAGTCCCATTCACACATGGTCAACACCACAGGGGAGATGAGGGAGAGAAGGGGGGAGAGGCTGAGGTGGGATGAAGGGGAAGAGAAGAGAGAAAGCGAGATGAAGAGGAGAGGAAGTGCCGGTTGAAAGCGGTTTGGTGGTGAAACGACACGGGAGAATTAGAGAGGAACGTCAGGATTTAGGCTGGCGACGAACAACGGACGACTCCTAATTGCTGATTTGCATATGAAGAGGTTCTTTCCAGTACCCACACTTAGAAAATCATTCATAAATTGATTCATCCTGCTCACGCAATCAGAGTCAGTAACTAACCTCTGACTGAGACTGAAAAAAGACGATTAAGGCGTGTTTGATATCTAGTTTCCGTCACGCATTAATATCAGAGTCAAAGTATGTTTTTCCTTACACTGATAAATGTACCACCAATTCAACAAATACACACTTTTTTGTCCTTTCCATTCATGATTTTCAGCTGTATGGATCAAAAACGCTGGTTCATAGAGGAAACATTGTTAAAAGATCAAGTCAATCAATCAGACCAAAGAACCACACAGTATTTCAATTGTGAAACAGTTTGAAAGATCTCTTTCAGGTGCTGTTAAATGCAGACTTGTGATTTAAAATGGATGCTATCGCTGCGTATGCTTTTTTATCTGTGCCTGAATTTATTTTCTGTCCTGTACACTGGTCAGTGTCATCAGACCACATACAAATAATGGGTAAAAAATGTTTTCCGATTAAACAGTAAGGACTTGTTTGATGCGATTCATTTGTTAATATGTTTAATGTTGTTAATGTTAATAAATGATTCTTGTCTAATGCCAAAATTGCCTAGTTCCCTTAGTCCCTTATGCTAGTAACATTATATATTTGGGTTATGGAGTGTGTGTTGAAGGAAAGAGCTTGGTACTTAGCCACAACTACTTTTTAAAAACAGAATTGCATATGTTGCAGACGTTTTAAGGCAGGGGATAAATACACATTTAATGCCTAAGTTAGTGTTTATATTGACAAAATTGTTAACAAAACTACAATATGAACTAGCAATATCCAATGAGAGTAAGCGCAGTATTTGTCTAAGAACAAACTATTCTGAATAAAGTATTGCAGTGCTGCAGAGAATCACAAATCAGTCCATAATTGTAATATCAGTCCAAATGATCACAATTGGTTATTCTTTCCAAACCGTGCATCCCTCGTATTGAACACACATGTCAGCTGGTGCAACAGTGTGGCTCATATTTCACTAGATGTATTGATATTAAAATTAAACCACAGCACTGCTGTGTTTCCTGTGGATGTGGCCCGGTTTTACTGGAGTCACCGAAGGTAACTGTAGCAGCTTCTGTTGGACGCTTCAAGGTGTGAAGCCTCATCCATCACAGCTCTGCCTCGTGTCTGCCAGCTGGGAAATGTATTAAACCTCCTGCCTTTTAATGTATCGAACCACCCTGATGTATAGAGCACCGATGACATGCCAGTGGAGCGAAGCGCCACACACACACACTCACACACACACACACACACACACACACACACACACACACACACACACACACACACACACACACACACACACACACACACACACACACACACACACACACACACACACACACACACACACACACACACACATTCATGAGTGTGAACATAGAAAATGGGGAGGAGGCAGCAGAGAGATAGATGGCTGCTTGTATCTCTCTCTTAGTGGTCGAGAATCTATATCACAACTGAATAAACACACTCAAAAGCAGACACACACACACACACACACACACACACACACACACACACACACACACACACACACACACACACACAAAAACGTTGAGACCCGAAGTACCTGAGGAAATCACACTATTTATTTCTAGAAATTGAAGATGGTCTGCTGAAAATAAACCTTAACACACATACACACACCAACATACACACAGACTCACTCACACAAAGTCACACACACAAGGCAGAGTCATTAAGAATGGCGTGTTAGACCTCCAGGTCAGCATGTTCATCACCATGATAATGTGTGAGTAACAAACAGTGCGCTGGGAATCTTTAAAAATAACTAGGAAGCAACACACACACACACACACACACACACACACACACACACACACACACACACACACACACACACACACACACACACACACACACACACACACACACACACACACACACACACACACACACACACACACACACACACACACACACACACACACACACACACACACACACACACACACACACACACACACACACACACAAGCACTGAAGCTCAAGTGACTCAAGAGTATGTGTGTGTAACTCAATCCCACAAACACAGTCCTGCCACCATAATAAATATGCACCAGAGAACCAAACGTGTATTAATCCACAATTTAAAATAGTCCTCAGCAGATGCAATGTTAACTGCTAACAAAATGTCACTATCGATGTGATTTTTAAAGATTTTTCCGTCTTCAATAGAAGCAAGTGGTTAAGTGAGGCAGACTAACCCAAACGCAACATCTTGGTATTATTTGTTTGGACAAAAATCTGGAATATCATAAGTCTTTTTCTTGTTTTCCATACTATAAAGTTGTATCATAACTGTAACTCAATTACAGAGGTAATGTTTCTGGACTGGCGTGTTTGGTCGCATTTGGACACGTAAGACACAAGTTCAACAGGTTTTTCGTGCCAGTTCAGGAAATCTTTAAAGTCCACTGTCACACTGTCCCGAAATTGACACCCGATGGACACACGAATATGGAATTGTGAATTTCGCACGAAGATGGCCCCGAACCACACACGAAGGCAACATTTACATTACATTTAAGACATACAACTGCAACGAAAGTACCAAAAACAATTATGTTACAGTACTATGATACTGTACTGATATCTTCAGACTTTGTTCTTTACTTTATCCGTCTTTATATGTAGAAAATATTACGTTTTCTCCGTAATGTTGTTTCCATAGCAACAACAACTTCCTGTCAACTCGCCTTCAAAATAATATATTATATCCTTTTTAGTTTCACAGAACACAAATTGGGTTATTTACATAATATGTTTACATGATTTTGTTGTGCAATAAAACAACCCGATGGACACACGATAAAGGAAATGTTCAAATTCGGCTGTGATCGTAGCAACATCGGGCCATTCGTGAGGGCATCTTAAGCCATCGTATGACCGCCGGTGGAGTTTCTCAGGCTCCGGCAGCAACTTAGTGAGCGGTGGCAAAATCTTTGACATGGCCAAAAAATTGCCGAAGGACCTTGAGAAGGTTCATTTGTGTTGAAATTCTGTGTCAATTTTGCCCTTCGTAAGGCCATCGTGAGGGCATCTTGTTATCATCGGTGCCATCGGGCATTCGCCCCGATCAGAGTGAGGTGCCCAAGCCAATCAACGAAGTTGCCGCTCACGAAGTTGCTGCCGGAGCCTGAGAAACTCCACCGGCGGTCATACGATGGCTTAGATGCCCTCACGAATGGCCCGATGTTGCTACGATCACAGCCGAATTTGAACATTTCCTTTATCGTGTGTCCATCGTGTGTCAATTTCGGGACAGTGTGACAGGGGCTTTAAGGACTTATTCATACATTATTCTTACATTATTATCACTTGGGCATTTGTCCCGTTCTCACTCATACTACACTTTATATTTCCATGATTGTCCAGCATCGTAAGGGTGTTTTGACGCAGATCAGATCCAGAATCATGTCTAACTATTATTTAAATAGCAGATATACTGGATTAT